TTACACATAAACATTTAAAGATTTGAGTCAGCGAAATAGATAAATCGACTCTGCAAGAACTCTGGTGTGTGTTCAAGTGAAATGAAAAAAGTTCAAATGAATATTATTCTCTCCACGAGCCAAAGGTAACGTTAAATTAGAGTATAATTTAATATTGAACCAAACACGTATGACGAGTCACGCAGGTCCTGTGCTCCTCCGCAGCGGTAAGACCAGAACCAGTACAAAATAGTCCGAATATAAACACTTATTATAGGTGTACCACAGTGATTCAGGATAAGACAAAGCACGATTTGGACAACTGATTCATGTACTCGCTCACTATATAACTTTTGAACATTTTGAACACAAAAAGTTAAGCACTAAAGCTTTATAACGAGACAACTTAGCCAGTCGCCCTCCTGTGGTGAATTGTGTGAATTACACTGCTGCAACTTATTTCTACAGCTGTGACTGCAGTCAGAGGAAAACTTTGAGTTACAATATTTTGTAACATTTAATAAATTGCTGGTTTTGCCATGTGACGCAGTAAAACATCTGGCAATTACCTTTCAAATTTTCTATAAATATATTTTACATCTGCGATCAGGGGCGGTTCTAGGGTGAGTGGATATCCGGGGCTTAGCCTAGAGAAATCCATGTATGTGTCACGATACAAGGAATAAACTTTAAATAAAAATGTTATATTTGGTTTTTTTATTGTTTTTTTTTTAACAAGGTGGATCTTTCTTGCTAATTAAAATTAAAAATCACAATGTCACACATCCTCTTCTTTCCTTGCTGACTCATCTCAGACATGGTAAAATAGCAAGCTCAGCTCTAGTATTGTTTTAATAAATAGCATTCACTTAACAACATGATTTTTGTGAGAATATATAAAAAGAGGTGACTAAAGAATCTCTCTAAAAAAAAAAAAAAAAAAAAAAAATCTTAACCCATTCTCCAAGCACACATTACATTTTATAGGCTACCTTATTTTTACTTTATACATAATACAAACAGAAACGCTAAAAGCCAAGTAGGCCTATAATTAAAACACATGGGTCTACACTTATATTTTTGAAGGAGCACTTGTAGATGCATTTTACACAGCACTTACAATTTGCATAAATAATCGCGTGAGACTGATGTATCAAATATCAAATTTGGAATACAGAAATATGAAACATTGAAAAAATGAAAATGGTACTTTGCCACTAGATCGCGGCAAGCCACTGCCTTAAATAAATAGTCGGTTTATTCAATCGATTCGTTCAAATCAGATGATTCATTTAGAAAAAAAGTAAGAAATGATTTTGTATGGCGGTCAGTGAATCGTTTACAAGCAAATTCAATTAATAAACACTGTGATGCTTTGTTTTGAAACCATTTTCGTTAGCGAAATATTTTCTTTACGTTTGGCCATGCCATACGTTTGGCCATTTTCATCTAAAGAATGAAATCTAATACTATGATTAGAAGTTACAGATACCTACTGAAGCTGTTGTATCTTGTTTTAGTGATGGCTGGGGGTGTTTTACTTCCTTTTTTTTTTTTTTTTTGAAAAACTTCGATACCATCCATTTTACTCATTCATTACTAAATTACACATCAACAAACACCTGGCTCCAAAATATTTAATTTCATTGGCTGGATCGTACAGACGCGTTGCTTCTCATCGATGGTTGGCCAGTTTACATGTCAGTCAGAAGCACTAGCCTGAATGGGCGGTTCTTGTCGGTTGTGAATGACAATGCGTATGTTGACGGACGCTACGATGCGAGAGTCGAGAAATATACATTTAATTAATTAAATTCTCTCAGTGATGGTGTGTACAATGCATGGAAATAAAAAACATTCGGGGCTTTACTGAAAACAGCCCCCTTAGCCCACCCCTATGCTGCGATATTCTTTAAAATGGAGTTTAATCGCCCTCCTGTGGTGAACTGTGTGAATTACACTGCTGCACCGTATTCAGAGCGCCAGAGGAAAACTCTGCACTAAACTCTGCACTTACTTTGCATTTATTTCACATTGTTTGATAAATTATTAATTTAAAGCGAAATAGTAAACATTTTTAGAAAAGTTCGCTTTTGTTTAGTGGAAATATATTCTTATATATGTAAAATCAATTTAAAGACTCGCTTTTACACGCCCTCCTGTGGTGAATTATGTGCATTACACTGCTGTTAATTGTCTCATTTCTGTTAAATCCTTTTATTAAATTATTTGCATTGATTAAAATCATTTGATAAATAATTGAAAACATCTGGCAAACATAGAGTTTAATATGAAATATATTGATGGATGTATAAACTAAGGGAAAATTATGAAAAATTGATTGTATCATTCTCTGTGTATGTATACTGCCTCCCGATTTGTTAAAGTAAACAAATACATTATATAATTTTAAAAAGTCCAATGTCTTGATCGAGCTGTGGTGAATTCATGTGAATTACACTCCAGTTAATTATTTCTAAAAAATTTCTACCTACTTCTAGTTAATTCAAGTCAAAGAAAAATTTGCATTACATTATTTTACATTGATTTCATGTTAAATAAATCGTTCGTTACCACATGAAACACATGACCCCTTTTATTTATATATTTAGTGGTATAATAATTGTACATACTTTTAAATTTGAATTGAAAACGCTCTCCTGTGGTAAAATGTATTAATTACACCACTGAAACATTATTTTTTCTACAGCAGTAACTAGTGAGGAAAGCTAGTTAAGCAGAGGAAAGCAGAGAAAACGCGTGTCCTCTATCACTTTTTAACGGACACCCTGCAGCCAATCAGAATCGAGTATTCACCCAGACTATGGTATAAGTCTTTGTTAAAGACTGTTGACAAACTTCTTAAACCAACTAAGGATATTATATTGTTCACTCCTCTGCTGACCATCTGACTGGTCAGATTGATGGCATATACAGCTCTTTAACCACGATCACGCCACTCGAGCTAGTTGATATTCAGCCTTTAAATTCTCTGACCACTACTTTTTCATACTTTGAATTGGTCAGTGTTGGCTTTATTGTTAGTACAGGTAAGTCCATGAATTCAACTACTAGTACTTTAGATCCGGTTCCCTGCTCAGGTATTAAGAACTGCCTTGTACCAGTCAGCTCTCATAGAATTCAGGAGTTCTGGAATTGTTTCTCCAGAATTAAAAATAGCTGCCATTACACCAGTCCCTAAGAAGAAAGTAGTTCTGGTGAAACTGCCTGTTTACCATTCGAAATTAATAAATAAATGCGCTGCCCACAACAGCTGTGAGTAACCATAGCAACAGGCAGTCAAAGTATCCGTTAACAATTTGCTCTATCAAAACAAACATCTAACGTTACCCAGATAGCAAACTGACATTAAATCAACGTGGAAATATGACATCGAAACAACGTTGATCTGACATTGTTTTGCTCATCGAATTAACGTTGAACCAACGTCAGACGCGTCATTCTTTCAAAACTAACGGAAAATCAACTTGAAATCAACACGTTGTTTCAACGTTATGAAAGCAAACCAATTTTCGATTTTCATTTAGCTTTGAAGAATGCCGCGTCTGACGTTGGTTCAACGTTAATTCGATGAGCAAAATCAACGTTGTTTCAATGTCATGAGAGACGTCGTTTCCACATTGATTCAATGTCAGTTTGCTGTCTGCTGGGTAGTTAGATATTACATAGCCTACTAATACAACAATGAGCGACTTCGTTATTTATTTTAACTTTTATGGAGAATATGACAACTTTGACGACTGGGATGCTGCTGAAGAAAGAAAAAATGCAAATAAAACGGAGGAACGTCACAAAGAAAATTACACCGCTGCTGCTCTGAATGAGACCCTGCGGGAGTTTTAGTTTTTTAAGGCAGGAGGAGAGTACAGCGTTTCAAGCCTAAAAAGCCTGTTTAATTAATTGTTTTATGTGTAATAAAAAAAAAAAAATAACTATGCCTACCTTTGTGTTTCATGAAAAAAAATGTTTTTTTGAACCTGAAGGGTTCTACAAGCTGAGCGGACTATCTCTGGTTGCTAAATAAACCAGGCGAGTTATTATTGTAAAAACTAGATTTAGTCTAATTAAAATATAAACTAGCAGCTAATGTTTTAAAAATGTTTTATTTGGCAAGTGACCATGGTATAAGCGGGTTATTAATGCCCTTCGAGGTGTCCATTAGGTTTTAATGGACTTCGGCGGAGGCAATTCGTCCTCCCCTGCGCGTCGGCCGGTTCACGCCTCGCCGTCGTCCATTAAAACCTGACAATGCACACCTCGCCGGGCATTAACCCTTACATGGAATTTGTTGCAGCATTTCCAACAATGCTTGAATAATAGTTCGTATGTGCACAGTATTCATAGCAGAATGGTAAACAGACGGTTGTTGAGTGTACGTTCCAACAGGGGTCGCTAAGGCATAACATTCATTTCAAAAGTAATAAATATGGTCACTTATTCTCAAGTCAATACTATCCAGAGATTGAATACCAACTCCAGCAGAACAAACCACATCCAATATATAGCCCAACCTATCAAAACGAGACGGTAACACGAGTTGGGAGGTGGAGGAGGCTAAAGACCACAGCCTCTAGCATCAGTCGCTAGTTGAGAGAAATATTTACTCTTTTTGGTAAAAACGTCCAAGACATCATTGTTTTGGCAGTGTTTAGGCCCAAAATTCTCATCTTTGATGACATTTTGACTGGTTAGGAAGTATAATGTATAACTTTTCCAAAAAGTATTGTCCGGACTGGAAGGAAATGTTGTGACGGACCTCTTGGAACTTTCATTGAAACCCCTGTTCTATGACATCATTGCATAAACACCCTTTTGGAGTCCACGAGGTGACATTTGTAATACACATATGGGTGTGTGTGTATATAATAAACACAGTGTGCGAGTGGCATTGATGACACCACAAACAAGCAGCGTCCTCGCCCTCAGACCAGTCAAAGCTCAGTACACCGTTTGTCTTTCAGAAGACAATCTATATTATCTTCTCCAGCTGCATCAGGCAATCCCAGCATGCACTACAGAACGGTGCTGATGTACACTGAAATAGGCTGCTTTGTAGCATGCGTCTGCGGCTGGATCCTGATCTGCTCCACTATCCCCACGGAGTACTGGACTTACTCTGAGGTGGCCAGTTTAGTCCTCACATCTTCCCACTATTTCTCCAACCTCTGGAAAGACTGTCTCTCCGACTCCACAGGTGTGTCCGACTGCAAGGAGTTCCCCTCGCTGCTGGCTCTGCAGAGTAAGTGTTATTTCTCCATTCGGTCAGTAATGTCTCGGCTGACTGTGTTCTGTTAGTGAGTAGGGACTGAACTGACACTGGCGTTAGAGGGACGTGCTGTTGCATTATATGTGGCTATTATGATAGAAAAATAATAAACCGTTGTTTTGGCTACAGGAAATTAGATAAAGTTGTTGAATTTTATCCTTTTTATATACATGCAGTCAAACCAAAAATGATTCAGACACCACATGTTAGTGGTATTAGTGGTTCAGGACACTATAGTTTATTTCTGTAAGTGAGGAGAGCAAAAGTAAACAGTGACCCAAATATTCTTCACACGGTGACTACCAGTAACATTAATACAACATTTGGGAACAAAAATAATTCCTCCACTTTGAGCTGATGATGTTCTGCTGAAGTGTGTTTTCTGTAATCGCTAATGCTCTTTTTACACACACACTGAACAACATGAAGCATTGCTTGGTCACTGGTTGAGCTAAACTGGTATTATCTAAGTGTGTAGTTCAATTTACCCGCTGACAGATATTCAACATAATTCATGTGTGAGAGTCCAACAGAAGGACGGACAAAACCAGTCAAATATCGACTGATCTGAGAACTGAGATCTGCTCATATTTCTAAACTAGCATATAAACTGTGATAATGTGAGAAATGTTGAAGCTGTCTGAATAAATTTTGGTTTGACTGTATAATACTTGATTTTATCCGTGGGGAATTGATTGGCTGATTGTGGTTTGCTATTGGCTAAATCATTTAGAATGGGTTTGCAAAATATTAAACACATAATACAATATTACTGCATTGTGAAAAACACTAAATAAATAAATAAGTGTGATTATTGTTGTGTTCATCTTTCAACAGCACACATTCACCTGTGCCGATCTCTCGTCATCACATCCATAGCTCTGGGATTCTTCGGATCCGCTCTGGCTTTGGTGGGGATGAAGTGCACAAAACTCGGAGGCTCTGAAACGGTGAATGCAAGAATAACCTTCGCTGCAGGGATCAACTACTTGTTGTCAGGTAAAGCCAGCGCTTGTCCAGCCGCTCCAGCGTGTTCCAGCTCCTCTGAACTCTTGTGTCTCTGCTTCAGGTCTCTGCGGCATGTTGGCTTACAGCTGGTACGGCCACAAGGTGATTTCAGAGTTCATGGATCCCAACTACAAGGCCAAAAAGTGAATATTTCAGTACAGAAATGAAATGTGCAGTTGATGCGGATCCGGGTTGTAAGAGTGTTTCTTGTGGCGACAGGTTTGAGCTGGGAGTGGCGCTGTATGTGGGATGGGGCGGATCGGCGCTCCTGCTGGCCGGAGGACTCGTGTACAGCATCACCGCAGGGAACCAGGCCTGCCAGTCCAGGTATCTCAATCTAACCTGTGCCTCTGAGTGAATCGCAGGAAGACAAGAGTGATACTGTGCATTGAGAAAAGGAAGCCTATTTTACAACCAAGTGCCCCTTCAACACAACATGGAGCTGCACTTTATTGCAAGGTGCAGTATCGGAAGGTCGGGACAGCTGGTTTAAAAAAATTGCCGCAACGACCCCACCTGATGCATAAAAGGAAAAAAATTATTGAGGCGGCATTATTTATTTAAAGGGTTCACCCAAAAATGAAAATTAAGTCATTAATTACTCACCCCCATGCTGTACCAACCCCGTAAGACCTTCGTTCGTCTTCGGAACACAAATGAAGATATTTTTGATTAAATTTGAGAGCTGTATAACTGCACATAGACTTCCGGGACTGGCTCTTGACTAGGGTTGGGTATCGAGAATCGATTGGAACCGGGACTAACTTTTCGTTTTTCCCGGAATCGTTCAAAAGTTAAAATTTCGATGCCTAGTTTCGATATTCACAGTCCGCCAAGCGGAAGAAGAAACCGCTGAACAACACCAACGAAGAGAAGCGTCTACAGGAAGTGTTGGCATAACCACGCGAACATGAGTACCTTATGTCCGCGATCCAAAGTGTGGCTTCACTTTTCTAAAAATAACGAAATCTCGGCAAAATGCAAAATTTGTAACAAAAGGAGTATTTTTACAGAAGGAGTATTTCCTTCAGAAAGGATTATTTCCTTCAGAAAGACCGTTGGTTAGCAAGGTTAGCTAAACTTTTTTGACCCTGCCTCTTAAAAGAATCAGAATCGAGAATCGTTAGGAACCGGAATCGAAACAAGGAATCTGTAGGAGCCATTTATGTTTATTGTTTGCATGATAGTTTTTGTTTGGATATATTTATATTAGTATTTAGACACTAGGTGGCAGTAATTAGATGCACATGGTTGTATTTAAATGGGCTAAGGTGACAGGAAACGGAAGGCACAGGTAGAGGGAGCACAAACAGTTCTCACCAGACCACGGATTAGAACCTAGAACACACAACTCACAACTGGAAACAAGACAAGAAAACAACTGGTATGTTCATCTTTGATGTACATTTACTTCAATAAACCACAAATCTCAACTGCAATAATGGCTGGAAAATCTTGTGTGTCTGCGTAGAAACTTCACTCCTACCTGTGCATGATGGCAAAGAAATGAAATTGAATATAGGGCTAAAGGTACAGCCAAGCAAAGATTGCCATTATAATTAGTGAGAACTCTGCTCTATGTGTGAAAATTGAGCATGTAACAGTATTGGAAGTGGATACAGATTGTTTTCACAGAAGAACCGAAAGTTTTCATTCATAAAACTGGACGCCGCCATTCCCAATGAAGGAAATATTGACGCCACCTGTGCAGAGCTAATTGAGGGAGATTGGACACTCTGAATGAGCAACGTGCAGGCGACAGGCGGAAGGGTATGTGCAACATTAGGCTTTATTGGAAAAGCTATAAAACAGCGCCCAGAAGCTGTTATACTATTGCATTTCATTGACTGAAACCTATACTGTCACAACTATATCAGCTGTTTAAAACATTCTGCCATTGGCGTGTGGTTTACTGGGTCACGGTAAAAGTGAAGCAAATATGTCTATTGTCCAGTCTGACGTGCGGTCACAAGATGGCGCTGTTGCACTGGCCTCTGAAAAAGAAAAAAGGGTTATTAAACACACTGCTAAAGGTTTGGAAATGTTCATTGAAAACTGTCAGAAAACAAGAAACTTGAAATGTAAGCAAGCCATGAAGTTAATGACCCAGATGAAAGAGCTCATGAAATCTAAGGAAAATGCAAGTGAAGTGCAATCTAACTTGAATGAATTAATCAACATCTGTGATGAAGCTAAAAGAAATCATGAGTCATTGGTGAAGCTACCACTCCCTGAAAATGAACTTGAAAAACAAAATCACTGGTTTCAACAAAAAATGGACATGTTTGATGGTTTTAGCCAGGATGTAAATGTGTGGTTTTCAGAGGTTGGATGGCATAAAAAACACAGCATTGTTGAAAGTGTAAACACAGATGACATCGGACCAGATGACAGTGTTTCTAATGTGTCAAAGCCTAAATCAAGCCACAAATCCAGTTCTTCATCACGTGCATCTTCAACATCCTCTGCTCGCATAAAAGCTCAGGCAGAAAAGGCTGCTCTCATGGAACGGGTTTCCGCCCTGCAGAAAAAGCATGACCTTGAGGCACAGGAAGAGCAACTGAAAAGAAAAAAGGAACAACTAGAACTAGAGACTGAACTGGCAGCAACCAATGCAAAAATCAATGTACTGGAATCAAGAAACAGCTCAAGAGTATCTGATGGGATGAACTCCTATTTGAGACAAGGAACTGCACAGCAGAAAACGTCAGTCAAATTAAATCCACATGCAAAGACCTATTTACCTGATCAAGTGCAACAAAGACACAATGTTTGGATGGGAACTGCATCTTCTTCACAGCAGGTTGTTCGACCAAAGGAAAGAGCTGATGGACCATCGGTCAGAGCTCAGGATATGAATCATCTAATACAACAACCTGTATTTAATGATGGTAATCAGGACAACATCTATCACATAATTGAGAGGCAAAATGACATCACAGCTCTTCTCGCTCAACAAAATCTCTCTTCTACTTTACCACCAAGAGACATTCCTGTTTATGACGGTGATCCATTGCAATATGAAGTTTTTATCAGGGCATTTGAGAGAGGAGTGGAGAGAAAGACAGATGAGCCAAGCGACTGCCTGCATTTCCTAGAGCAATACACCAGAGGCCATCCAAAAGATTTAGTCCACAGCTGCCAACATATGTCTTCAGCTGAGGGTTATAAAAGAGCAAAAGATCTACTTAAAGAACATTTTGGTAATGAATATAAGATTGCCACAGCATACATGGACAAAGCATTTGCCTGGCCAGCAATCAAGCCAGAGGATGTGAAAGCATTGCAAGCGTTTTCATTATTCCTGAGAGGTTGTTGCAATGTAATGGTACAGCTTACTTGTATGGAGGAGTTGAATGTTGCTTCCAGTATGAAGACCATTCTTCTGAAACTGCCTTACAAGCTTAGAGATAAGTGGAGGAATAGGGCATGTCAGCTCCAGGAACAAAATGGTCGTCGAGCTAGTTTCTCTGACTTGGTAGACTTCATGGAGAGACAAGTAAAGATACTGTCGGATCCACTTTTTGGAAACATCCAGGATGCTAAGACAACTACATCTGTCAAAAGCTCCATCTTTGTCAAAGCAAGAGACAAGCTGAGACCAAGAGGAAGCAGTTTTGCAACTACAACTACTTTTGTAACACCTGTAGAAACACCAAACCAAGAAAAGATGACAACAAATGGAATGAAAAATATATCTGCCACTAATTCCCAAAATTCCTGCTTGTTCTGTGATAGAGATGGTCATACATTGGTGCGATGTCCACAAATCAGGAAAAAAGGACACAGGGAAAAAATAGACTTCTTAAAGAAAAGGGGAGTTTGTTTTGGATGTTTGAAGGTAGGACACATGAGCAAAGACTGCAATAGTCGTTTGACTTGTGACGTGTGCAACAAAAATCATCCTGAAATACTTCACATTGAACAAAAGGACATGGGAAAGAAAACGGAACTGAATGATGGGAGATCAATTGGGAGCAATGCTGTTCTCTCACCTCTTACATGTGGGCATATTGGGGCCGGTGAAGAAGCCTGTCTCTTCTCTATTGTTCCAGTACAAGTAAAGACCCACAAGGGAAACACAGTGTTGCAAACGTATGCATTTCTGGATCATGGAAGTTCATCTACCTTCTGTACCGAAAGCTTAATGAGAAGACTGAATGTAACAGGACAAAAGGCCAGTATTCTTCTGCATACAATGAACCAAGTGAAACCTGTGACCAGTCATCATATCTCAAGTTTGGAGATATCAAGTCTGGACAAAAATGATTTCATACAACTCTCCAATGTATTCACCCATAAGACCATGCCTGTTTCCAAGCTCAACATTCCCAAACAAGAAGACCTGATTCGATGGCCTTACTTGAAGGATGTCAGGATTCATGAAATAGACGCTGGCATTGACCTGCTGATTGGCACAAATGCTTCTAAGGTATTGGAACCTTGGGAGGTGGTCAATAGCCAAGGGGATGGACCATATGCTGTGAAGACCCTACTGGGGTGGGTCATCTATGGTCCCTTGAGAGGAGACAACAACATCAGGGATGAGAATGGCTGCCCTGTTGCTGCTGTCAATCGAATGTCTGTTGTGAATCTAGAGGAGCTATTGGTTAAACAATATAATCATGACTTCAATGAAGTAACCAGCAAGGAAACAGAGGAAATGTCCAGAGAAGAAATAAAATTCTTGGATATTGTGAATCACTCAACAAAAATCATAGATGGTCATTACTGCCTAGACTTACCTTTCAAGCAAGAAAATCCCAGGATGCCAAATAACCGTTGCATAGCAGAGCAGCGCATCCAAAGCCTGAAACGCAAGTTTGGTAAAAATGAGATGTTTCACTGTGAATATACAACTTTTCTTAAGGAAATGATTGACAATGGCTATGCTGAAAAGGTACCAGTAGATCAACTGAATCGTAAGGATGGGGCACTCTGGTATATCCCTCATCACGGGGTGTATCACTCAAGGAAAGGAACTTTAAGAGTGGTTTTCGACTGCGGTGCTGGCTTCAAGGGAACATCGCTCAATGAACAACTGCTACAGGGTCCAGATCTTACCAACTCACTCATCGGAGTACTCATCAGATTCAGACTAGAGCCAGTTGCCTTGATGGCTGACATCAAAGCAATGTTTCACCAAGTCAAAGTGTCAGAAAAACATGTTGACTATCTTCGATTCCTGTGGTGGCCTCATGGTGACGTGCAGCAGGATCTCATCGAATACAGGATGAAAGTACACCTCTTTGGAGCAGTGTCTTCACCGAGTTGTGCAAACTTTGCACTAAAAAAGACAGCTGAAGACAACAAAACTCACTTTCCACCAGAGGTTATAGACACTGTAAAGAACAACTTTTACGTTGATGATTG